TTCCCCTTTTTAGAGCTAATAAATAATAATAAACGTTACAGTACAGTGAATGTAAGCATTGTCATGAATTCGTTCCCATTTGTAAAATAGCCAGTTGTAGGCTAACCCGATCTCATGAAAGTGCGTATAGCACGGTTTTCTGCTTCTACATGACGAAATTTTTCTATGCAGAAATTGACTTTGGCATGCAAAAAGACTTATAAATTCATAATTAACGGCATGGGTTCAGTCGACAGAAATACGGAACACACAGGCCTATAATAACTGCTGAAATGTTTGCGGGGCAAATCTCAGATCAGTCTGAGCGCTCATGGTACTCACAGTGCGTACAGCCGTACACCTGCAGGCACCACAGACTCGGACGGTTGTCGTGGTAATAAACAGCAAACGTTAGCGTGTCAGCGCTTAATGTGCATATCCTATATGAAAAGCATTTTAGGGGGCCCTTGGCTTTTGGGGGCCCAAGGACGAAATTTTGGTAGGCGACGAAAGGACGCCTACCTTTGCCTAATGGGTAAGTCCGCCCCTGCCTATATAAATGTGCATATCCAATCGTTTGTGCAGAGAGTGGAAGCTGAAGCTCTGCAGGACACGGAGGCGCCAATATTGAAAACTTTAAATTACTACTTTAAAACGAAATAATTCAAATAGAAAATAGACTCCTAATAAAATAAACTCTTTCATTGTGTAATCCGTGCATTTCTCTCTAAAGGCACATCCAATTAGGAGATGGAGTCATTATTTTCATCACTATAATTGATGGAAGGCCCGCTTATAATTTGCGTTTTATTATATAATTCCGTACAGTTAAAAAATAAAACACTAATTATAATGGCATATATGTAAAAATAGCCAACAAATGCATTGTTGTAGGCTAACCCGATCTCATGAAAGTGCGTATAGCACGATTTTCTGCTTCTATTTGGCGTAATATTTCTATGCAGAAATTGACTTTGGCATGCAAAAGACTGATAAATACATAATTAATGGCATGGCTGATTCAGTCGACAGAAATACGGGACACACAGGCCTATAATAACTGCTGAAATGTTTGCGGGGCAAATCTCAGATCTCAGTACAGCCGTACACCTGCAGGCGCCACTGACTCGGACGGTTGTCGTGGTAACAAACACAGTAAACAGCAAACGTTCGCGTCTCTGCGCTTAATGCGCATATGCAATATGAAAAGCGTTTTAGGGGGCCCTTGGCTTTTGGGGGCCCAAGGTGGTCGCCTACCTTTGCCTAATGGGTAAGTCCGCCCCTGCCTGTGTGTCAAAAAGTGACGCAGAGGGTCCTGACCAAGCATCAATATGTGACGTGTTGGGAGTGAACATGTGCAACAACCAGTGTTAACTAGTGAGTATGAGAAACCAACTCACACTGACTAATAATTACATTGTCTGCAAAAAGCCCACAAGACCCTCCCCCCCTCTCTCTTTCCTTCCCTCCGTCTATCATTAAACTTTCTTTCAAAGCTCTATAAAATATTCAAATATGGAGACTGAACATTTTAAAATATAATTTCTATTTATTAGCATAAAAACTGCACATTCAAATAATTAACTTCACTTCCCATATTTAAATAAATATGCATGTAAAAGGAAATCTTCACCATTCAGACACCTGTGCCTCCATGACACGGAAACTAGCAGACCGTGGAGAGATTAGTCAGTGTACAAAGTGCTGTTGTTTGATCAAACACCCTCCCCATCATAGGACATAGCAGCACACGTCAGTACAGAGACAGAGAGATGAGCAATACATGTAAGTTTACCTTTGCTTCTTTATTGTGTTTGAGACTTTAACTTAGTTGTTCAGTTAATTTACCACTGAAACTTTAAAAATATGTTGTAAATGTGTTGACTTACAAGATGTTTTGTACAGATGGTACATGCTTTACAACTAAATAATAAATGTGACATTTGCTTTAACTGAAGATATTTTAAACTCTGATATAGCCGAAACCAAGTATAAATTGTTAAAATTAAACACCTTCACTACGCATTCCCAAATCTAAGTGCAATTTGCGTGTAAGTGAAATTTAAAAGTTGATTACATTTTAAATTGTATTATATCAAAACTGTGGAATCTAACTATCTTAAATGTCTAAGTGAGGTACATAATAGCTAATAGTTAAAGACCTTTATAAAAACATAAAATATAAATAACTTACTTAAACTTGGTGATTTAAAAAATAATCAGAAGAAGAAATGTAAGAAAATGAGGAAGAAATGGAAAACAAAATGTAAGTGGTGCTTGCCATGGCAACACTTGGCACTGGGCAGTTGCTAGGTTGTTCTGAGTGTTTACAAAAGAGCCAACACCCATGTCACCCAAAGCTTGTTGCTGAGATATGGCTTGTACATGTTGCTATACGGTTGCTAGGGTTTGGCAAGACAGCTGCCAGGGTTATACTTCCAGAGTACTTGGCTGCCTGAATTAAATGAGCCAATCCTTGTGTCAGTATAAGCACTATGGGCCCCAAGGCTTATAAAAGTCATAACAGACCTCTCCTCTATAAGAATTTGACAACCCATTCATGACGATGTGACAAACAGTGTGGGATGAGTTATGCACTGAAGTTTTGTCTCGAAAAATTAGACTATAGTGCACCACTAACTAGAACAGAAATCACAATATGATGGAATATTTTACATAATTAAATTTAAACAATAAACTTAGACTTTAAATGAAACTCTCTTTACATATGTAACAAAACTAGAGAAATATTAATAATTAAAAATTTTCAGCTGAAGATCTCCTGATCATCTATGAGGCAGAGGCTGAGCAGTGGGCATCGTACCTGCACTTCCATCTGGTAGGCCCCATTCCTGAGGCTGGCATCTGTTGTTATGATATTGCTTTGGTGACCAGTCGCCGGGATGACTTCCTGCGACTTGGTGGATACAAATGTAAGCTGCTTATCCTGTCGCGTGGCATGCTGGAGGGGCTATGCCAGCTCCGGCGGTTCTTTCTGGCTCGTGTATTGCGACCAGAGACCAGTGTGGTGATTCTCTTGTGTGGAGTAGAAAGCTTGGATCCTCTGCTAGAGCTGGTTCCACTGAAGGGAGATCAGTGTCTCCAAATCTCCAGCGAGCAAGAGCCCCAGGACTATCAACTGGCTGTGGCAGAGATTGTACACAAAGGTAAGAAAGTTTGGGAAGTTTTAGAATTGGAATGATAACAAAAAGAATGTAGATTTGATCCCCAGTATATTACTAATATAAATGTTTGAATATTCACAAAACATTTAACATATTTAAACGTTTTAGTAACACTCTATTTCCTGTTTTTTTCTGTTTTTTTAAACATATTTTTTAAAAAATTCATTCTAAATATATGTTTGCAGTTGTACTCTTTATACATTATACATATATTATTTATTCTAATTTTATTTATACTTTTAGCATTTACACAAAATATACAGTATTTTTAGAGTGGAAAAATAAAAAAAGCCACAAAGTGCATTTTGTAATATATTTGACATTTGAAGGTTAAAACTATATGTGTGTAAGTGTGTGTGTGTGCACAATCATGTACCAAGCCGAGAACAAGCCTTACCTCGGCCAGTTCTTCTGGAATTTTCCATTGATTCTGACTCTATAGTAGTTAAACATGAGATAGAATTAGTTTTGGGTATATATATAACAGGCAGTCTTTGTTCTGATTAGTCAATTGTTTGTTCCAGAGCAAATAGTTTTGGCTGAGGGCAAAGTTTCATAACTTTATATTTTTAGACCCAACCAACAAATGCATTGACCAGCGGGAAATCCCCATAACCTTTGAAAGGATACTACAACAAACATATCACTTGGACATTCAAACTAATGTTTTATTATGAATATGTGTTTGACATGAAGAATGAATGCTTTATCAGATGCAGTTAATCATACTCGCAGTCGATCCCTCTCATAATATTCTATGCCAGGGATGTCCAAACCTGCTCCTGGAGGGCCAGTATCCTGGCCCAGTGGCATTACAATTAAAATTTTATGACATTATTATTATTATAATTTTTTTTTTTTAGAATTAAACTGTACATACATTTTTGTGTTCTGAATTAGGTAACTCTAATTCTGTGGTTGTTTCTTATTTATTTACATAACTGTGTTGTCGAGCTGTTGTATAAAAACGTAATATCACACTAATACCCATGTGATATGGCTTTATATCAGCACGGCTGTGATCACAATACTTGGTCTGCGGTGTCATGCTTACTGCTGAATCACCATGCTGATATAGTACACACTTACTGGTTGTCACAAGGGCTACCACCGTGGTGCCTTTAATTAAGCCCAAATTGCCCCAGCTGGGCTCTCCCTGTAGTAAATAGTGTAGTAAAAATTAATACAATTAATAAATATTTACCTCATAGGTCTCACAGGTCAAGGTTCTATAATTTTAACTCTTATAAAGGAATCTACTGTGACTGAAGAGTGTTTTTATGTGGCATGTTAGTGTTTTTCATTTTGTGGCATTCAGAAACCCTGATGTACAAGGAGGTCCAATTTAGCAATAGTAAGAATGACTTATATACTTATAGTGAATTGTCCAAGAAAGCTCACAGTGAATTGCAGGTCTACCCTGGCGTTATTAAAGTGCCCCTATTATGGATTTTTGAAAATTACCTTTCATGCAGTGTGTAACACGGCTCTAAGTGAATGAAAACATCCTGGCAAGTTTTAAATCTGAAAGTGCACCGTATATAAAGTTACTGTCTCTCAAAAGAAAGAGTCGACTCTGAATCATTGAAACAAGTCCTTTTTAAAACAAATCCCAAGCAGTCAACGAAAGACGTCAACATGAAACATTAGCATATTGCCCACCCACTTGTTGGTCTTTTCGCTTTGGTCTGAATGAAAACACAAATTCATTCTTTGCCACTAGGTGCCGCTTTTGGAGCGGTAAAATAGCAGTTTCCCTGGTAATGCTGTACACAAAGCAGCACTGCGCTCACAAACGCTGCTTTATCAAGCATTACAGGCATGATGAAACGAAAATGAAACCAATCGGACCAATCACAGCAGATTAGCGTCATGCAAAGGAGGGGTTTGGAAAAACGAATCGTTTGGGAGTCGTTGAGCAAATAGGTAAAAAATAAATGCATATTATAAGACAATGAAAGTGTTTTTTTGACCTTGCATGCATGTCAACCTGTTGTTGGGGACTCCCAAAACCAAAATATGAACCTTTCATTACCCATAATTGGGGCACTTTAACCCCTCATGCAGAAGCTGCATTGTGACAAGTAGCTTTTTTTTTTACAGGTTAAGTAACACCGGGGGAAGTTTAATCAGGTTTACATTTCGCTACTGCTTGGTGGTCCTGGAGACTGTAATTACAGAATCGTGTGAGGAAAGGAACAGAGACTTTTTCTGGCACGTGTGAGACTTTATTATCCTGCCGTGACTTGACAGACAATTGCCATCATCCCTTAACTACATCACAATCTGAAGTTCTTTTGTGAATAGACGACTGGACACTAGTACAGACAGCCCAGTGCTGTTTCATGTGCATTTTTACTTTTGTCTAGCTAAACCAATTTGGACAAACTGTTTGACAGATTCTGAAATTTCAAACACTGAGAGTGGATTTTAACTGCCTTTATTGCTATTAATTACAGGGTGTATTACACACAGTTTGTTACATGACAGGTGTAAGTACTTATATGGTGTCTGCCCAATAGCAGTGCATCATGAACCTGAAACAGTTTGTTGTTAATTCTGCAGCAGTACAAAGTGTGCCACATGTTGCCATGAGGAAACTGTGAACTGTATTACCATTTGCGGAAGAAGCAGCGAGTGAAATTATAGTGTATCTGCTACAATAATTTGTAGATTTAGATCCTTGTATCAAACCAGGGTATCATGTGTCAGGTATAATGTAGAGACAAGTGTTTCACTGCATTTAAAACATACACAGCTACTTCAAACTCCATCTTAAAAATCAGCTATTTAAGTAAAATGCAAATAATCTCAAAAAGAGTGGTTAGTTTCACCTGTAGTTTTACATACTATATTACTCTTCAAATATAGTCTTAATCATCGTTCAGATTATAATGACAGCAAAGCAGTGGTGTGTCCATTTGCTGTTCTTTCAGCAGTAACCCGGGTATAGTTTGGTGCAATGAGAAGAGCTGCTTTGCTGACGGATGTTTCAGCACAGGGCACGCAATATGCAAATACATTCACTTCCTCATGCGTCAAACTCAGTACTTATCACTGAATATGTAAATTTTGATAACCTCCTCTGAGAGTAATTTACCACGCTGTTACCAAACAGTCACTTTTATCATGAGAAAAAGGTTTTCTTTAGCAGTTCTTATTGTAATGTAGCAGGCAGAAAAGGCAGACAGAAACATGGATCTAAGTGCAGGAATTTAATAAATGACACCAAACAGCAAACAGCAGCAGAGCACACAAAAGCAACATGGAACACTTGTTTTTAGATTCATTTAAAAGTAACAGTAGCTCTAGTAACAAATGGGACTGAAAAAATACCAGTAACATTTATATAAATGTCTGCACTATTAAACATTAAATACATTTTATTTTACTTTAAACTTGGATTAAGGAATTTCACAATGCACCTGCAGGTTTTCAGTGGCTAGTCAATCAGGTTTTATTTTATGGATTTTACAGGATTCATTTAAAGTGGTAGTTCACCTAAAAATGAAAAAAAATGCCATCATATTCTCACAAGCATGCTGTTCTAAATCCATATGCCATTCTTTCTTTTGTGGAGCATAAAAACATACATATAACACACACACACACATACATACATACATATATATATATATATATATATATATATATTAGGGCTGTCATCGCGTTAACTCATGTGATTAATTTGACATAAAATAATAAAATAATTTAACGCAATTAACGCAAAATTACTGAATTTTGCACAATTTCTATTCTAACCCTTTAAGCCAATTTTGCTACTCTGCTTGCATGATTAGATCATTTTAAGCTGCTAAACTTCGGGAATGTTTTCAGTCCACTGATCCAGTAAGCGAATGCATTCAAACAATCCATCCAAAACAGCGCTAATATAAAGGAAACCAGGCTGATTACATCAGAGATTGCAGAGAGAACACAGACTGGCATTGCCTTTTAAGTGAATTATTCATTCCAGTGTGTTTCGCTTTTAAACACGAGCTCTGTCATATTATAAAATATATATTTTTGAGAATCACCCTTCAATCTTTTGGTTTACTTTGCTGGATATCAACTTAAATAAATCAAGCACCGTCCCGTTTTGCAAAAGTCTCGTTACATGATTTTACTGATTTGCGCGTGAAATTGGGCTTTTATGGAGGAACGAAAGAGCACCGCTGGAAAGGGGGCGGAATGGGGCGCAATAATAATTTTATCTCGATTACTGTATTTTCATAATCTTTGGAGGCCGAAAACGAAATCGACACTGAATTTTGATTAATTGCACAGCCCTAATATATATACATATATATACAGGGGTTCACATAAGTTGTAAGCAGGTGTGCATGTGCGACTAAAATAAAAAATGCGCTGTACAAATAAGTTCTGACAGCATCTGTTATTCACAATTACCATTTTATATCGATAAACTGTAATACTGTATAAGATTTCTATTCAAACTGAATAGATAAATAAATCTAGGCTACCTGCTGCCATTTTCAAAGCACAATGCAAAACTGACATTTCATTCACTGATGCGCTTCAGTTGGTAGCGCTAAACCCGGAAGCGCATATACTTACTTGCCTGCAACCCGCCAAAATAAAATCCTGCTGATTTTAAGTTTAAAAATAATGAAAATTAATCTTTAAAAAAATAAGTAAATATTAGTATTTTATTTTTAAGTTTACTATAAAATAGTTGTATTTGTATTTAATACTCCCTTTTTATTTTAAAATATAATAGTATTATCACACTTTATTATTTAGTTTATTATTTTATTTAAAAAAAAACTAAATAAATAAAGTGCAACAATATTATCACTACGATTAATTTATTTTTTATAGTTGAATTTAATGGGTTACACTATGTGCAGTATGAGGACCAAACCAAATCTCCAGGTTCTCTTATGAGAACCAGGCTGAAAAACTTATGAGAAACCCTTTTATTTATTTTCAAGTCTTATTTTTTTAAATGAGTCTTCCCA